TGCCGAAATGTTCATCAGGCATTTTTGTTTTCCTTAATCTTCAAATTTTTTTCCTCATACAAACAAAAGAATTGAATTATTTTTAAATTGTCTAGTTTTGTCGACGTTTGATGTAAAAAATAAAAATGTTTAGTGATCAAAAAATATATTTTGTTAAAAAAAATTATGTGTTTCAGATAAAGTGTTGTCAGTTGAGGAATTTTTTAAGAGACATTTTCAAAAGGGTTCTCATACAGTAAAGATTCCAAATATTCCGGCTAGCATGCCTTTATTAATTATTAATAAAAATGACTTGAAAACTTTGAGTTTTTATGATAAGAACAAAATAAAGGGTAAAGTGAATAGTACCAAGATTGACTTTTAAGTGTAAAAATGTGATTTTTCGTTAAAGTGAACAATACCGCTGGTTTTTCGTTAAAACTCCCTTAATTGTATTATGTGGGAGTTTTGTACTTGGCAACACACGGGACCATACGTACACTAAATTTCATGTCGATCATTCAATCGCAGAAGCAATCAACCTACTCTAAATGTCAAAGTTTCGAAAAATTTAAGGTCAACAGTTTACTAATAACGATTGATAGATTAAATTGTGAGACCATATTTACGAATTAATTCCTAAGTATAGATCTATTAGTTGAGGATAAATTTCAGGCTCGTATCTTATACAGCACATTTTAGTTCGATTTTTAATGCGTGTAAATCACACCTTGGTGGTCAGGAGAGACTAAAATATCTTTGTGAGTTTTTCTGACTCCTGAAATGATGAACTGTCGTGACAAAGTCACCATCTAATCCCTTTTTTGTTTTTTTACATAAAAATCACATTTGCAAATCATGTGATATTTCCTAAAAAATCACTCTAATTGACGCTTCATAACAATCTAATAACTAACATCTATATCATATAATTTACAAAAGAGAAATGCTAAGGAAATCCTTTTAATCCGCCTCCTCATGTTTTTATCACAATTTTCGTGCTAATACTATAAAATCTTATGCCAAAAATATAATGTAAAAGAGAGTGAGGTTACTTTGACAAAATCTCATTAGCATTTATCTTTACAAAATATAATTTAAATAGTTGATTACCCAAAAACATTTTTTTTACCACAAAAGAAACAACTCGTTCGGAAAACGACACGTCGGCTGTCGACAATAATATTTTAGCACGTATAAAGCAAACACTAGATTCCCGTGTTTGCAGCTTCAAGTCGGCCAGACCCTTGACTCTCAATCAACTTTATCACAGTCGTACCGTTATCTTCTGCAAAATTCCTATGTATTTCAAATTTGGGTATTTGTGGGATTTACCTCAAAAGGAAACAAATTTAATTCCATATTGGCCCACAATGTCTTAGCAGAAATTGCTTAAGAAATGGATAATCTTAAAAGAAGGAAAATGAATAGGTCGTAATCAGATTGGATTTCTTGCTTTCCTTTTCTTCTGTTGGTGGATTCCTTACTCTGAAGCTACTATTTTTCCTTTAACTACGTAATATGGTACGGATAAAGAGGAAGAAATGAGAGAGAGAGAGAGAGAGAGAGAGAGAGAGAGAAATGAAAGAAAATGAAGACAGAGGAAATCTTCTGTTGCTGGATTCCCTACTCTGAAGCTACCACTTTTTCTTTAACTACGTAGAATGGTACGGATAAAGAGGAAGAAATGAGAGAGAGAGAGAGAGAGAGAGATGAAAGAAAATGAAGACAGAGGAAATGAGAGGGTGATCGAGGGAGTATCGTGAGGTTAGAAAGTTGGTGTGTCTCATTGGACTCAAAATCCAAGCATGAGTAAAATAAGATTGAAAGTGTCTTGATATCACATCCCAGTTTGTATGATAAGATATTGTCCGTTTTGGGTTACGCTCTCACGGTTTTGTTCTTGAGTTTTCTCCCAAAACCCTCTTACTGTAAGGAGGTGGACATGTACATATAAGACACATCACCTCCTCTCCCCCGGGCGATGTGGGATCTCACAATCCACCCTCCTTAGGGGCCCGACACTCTTGTCGTCACAATTCTGGCAAGAGAGTGGTTCTAATACTAAATTGTCACATCCCAATCGGCATAGTAATATATTGTCCACTTTGGGCCACACCCTCATGGTTTTGTTCTTGGGTTTCCTTCCAAAACGTGTCTCACTATAGGGATATGGGCATTTACATAGAAGGCACATCACATCTTCTTCCTTGGATGATGTAGAATCTCACACTTAAAGTATCATAAAATTAGGATAATGCTCTCGAACCTTCCCCTTTGAAGGCCATTTTGGTCATTTTATACATTTACAAATTAAAAACGAATAATTTTCAGAATATATCGTAACAATTTTCGTTGAAATTTTGGTTAATATTGTAAATTAAGGAATATACTGCAAAAGTAATAATGATATGAAAATATAACATTTAACTATCATCTCAACTACATTGTACTTCTAGGTGGGAATAGACTGGTTGTCAGTGGTAGTGGCCGAGTGATGGCTAGCCAACTTGTGTTGCTAGTTCATTTGGCAAACATCTTTCTTAGAGATATGCCTTGGAATACAAGACATTTCAGCTAATTAAACTTTAAATGCTTTAAAAAAGTAACACCACTCTTCAAACACTACAGCCAAAATATCTACAGTGGACTCACCAAGCTCATCAAACACCAAGGACAATAATACAGAAGAAAATGATTTTTGCACGTCAGTTTTCTCCTTTTCCGTTCAGTCCTTAGTTTCTAACCCTTTATTATTTAGTTTACGAAAAATTGTATTCTAATCCTTATCTAAGATTATTTTTTGAATAAAACCTTGTCTATAAGATTAAAATCTAATTATAATCCTTAGCATTTAATTGTAATTTTTAATATTAAATAAGTTGTAATAATTATTGAATTTTTTGTTTGTAGGTTATATATTGATTCTCATCAATAATAAAATGTTATTTATAATTGATAGTTATTATTAAGTTCCCATAATAAGAAAATCATATATTATTATATATTTTTCATTGTGTGTGAATTTGTTCATATATATGTATATTTTTTTGTGTATATGCTTATTACATACATACGTATGTTTATATACTATAGTTGTGTATCGATACATTTGTACTGATACATTCACACCAAAAATTATGTACCGATACATTCGTACCGAAACTTACGAACAGATGCTTATGTACCTATGAGTAAAATAAGGTACCTATGAGTAAAATAAGGTACCTAAAGTTATGTACCGATACATTTGTACTGATACTTTCGTACCTATGAATAAAATAAGGTACCGAAAGTTATGTATAAATTTTTTTTGTTTTGTTGTAGAATTTTTTTAATAATAAGAAGTTGAATTTTGAATAAATTTTTATATTTTAATATGATTGGAGCCCAAAAAAAAAAAACATTAATTATATGGATGGGTAAAGAATTTCGAATGGTAAGTTTATAAATAATAAATGTGCTATAATTACTTAAATATGATAAGTTTTAAAAATAGGGACTTATATTAGATTTTAAAAACCATTTAGGTTAAAATCTAAAAACAATCTTATTAAAACCCTAAAATTTAAAAGTCCTTTTGGTTTATTCAATTCAACAACAAAAAAGAAAAAAGAAAACAAAAACGTCAAGGAGATAAAAAGTGCGAAAATTATTTTCTTAATACAAATACAATTTGTCTCTACAATATCTGGACAATTTCAATAGAGCAAAAACCCTTGAACTATTCGTAACCTTTCAATGTCCGTTTTATTTTATTTTATGTATAATTTTTTTTAATCAAAATCTTCAATTTCTTATACAATTCCAGGTGAGAATGCATTGTTTGTTCGTTAAAATTAATTTGATCTCCTTGTCGGCAAGCAATATGCCAACCTACGTCCACTTGAAAGGCTACGTGGACGCATTACGCCCTCCCTCTTTGCAAAAAATTAATTTAAGAAGAATATGACCGATCCGAACCGATCCGATCCAAGCATCTCCACCGCCTTCTTCATATCATATTTTTATATTTCATATCTTATTCTTCTACTAATTAATGAAAGATTTGGATTTGTTACATGGTTCTTAATTAGATTCTCATCACATTCATTTTTTTGATTAATTGGAATATTAACAGACAATTGTGCCTGCTTTTACGAATGACATCAATGATTATGGACTGATATACTAGAAAAATTCATTAATTTTACATTACAAACGTTATAATCGTATCATTCTTTCTTTTTTCTCATCATCTAAAAATTATTTTAAAAAAAAAAATCATTTGATTTAGGGACTGGTGGCTGGGTTATACGCGACTTTGCGGGGTTGTTGGTTACAGCGCGGGGGACGGGGAAGATTCAGGGGGCCAATGCTTTGATGGCAGAGGCCTCTACCATTCGAGAGGCATTGGAGGAGTGCAGCAGAGATGGTTTGTCAAACATTATCGTAGTTTCTCATGCTCGTGAAGTTGTTAGGCTGATAAGGACGGAGATCGGTGTTGATGCGGAGGTGGAAAGCATAGTTAATGACATTTGGGCTTTACAAATGATGTGGGGACTGTTTCGTTCGAGATTGTTCGTCGAGAAGGCAACTGAACGGCACATTCTGTTGCAGCATTTATTAAAAAAATTGGAGGTTCTTTTAGATGGGATGAAATTGGTCTTAACATCTTAACTTAAGATGTAAATATTTCAATTAGAATTTAATAAAGTCTATCTAATGAAAAAAAAAAAAAATTAACATCTTATCATCAGAATGTTAATTGGTGATTTAATTGTTCGACACATAAAGACAACTAAACGGTCTCCAAATTTTAAGTGAATTTTAAACAATAAAGAGAATAACTCGTTCAATTCCGACATTTATGCCGTAAATAATGTCACATTGTTATTGAAAAAGAAATGACTCAAGATATGCCTGTATTGTCCAACAAGTTCAAATTTAATAGTGATCGGAGATAAGTTTTAGGTAGACAGAAATTCTTTAACACCAAAGGAGAATACGAAAATCTAGTTCATCCTAACGAGCCTAAAATTGATTGGCCAACCCAATCACATTATAATCAGAGAATTTACAACCCAAAATCGGAGTAACTAATGCTAACTACTCTCTTTGTAATACATGTTTTCGCATTTATAGAGAACTTGAAGAAGAGAGTTTCAAACACTCACTCTGGCATCTCCTAAGGCAGATGTCATTCCAGTTGGGTACTTGATGTTGGTTTACACAGACAGTGCGCACGCACGCATCAGCACACGCATCAAGCTCAGATACACCGCAGACGGTAACACAAGTATCAGGAATTGGGTCCTTTGAGAATGCACCAACCTTTTTCAGCATTCTCTTCGACGTGCATACCCTTTCGCAGACAAAAATCTCATCAGAACTCTTCTCCCTTCCTCTAGCGCTCTTTAATCTCTGCTCTTCGGCGTGCCTTTTCTTCACTCGAAATGCTTGTCCTGCAACCACTGCAGGGATAGCAGCTAAGAGGGACCACCACACTTCCACCATCACAAATGCAGGGGTCAACTTCTTCTTCAGCAGCCTAATAGAAAAAGGAAAATACAATGAACTTGGATAATCATTTAGTCATCATTGCAATGTCAGTTTACACATTACTTTGTAAAATCTACAGGTCACTTTGACTTAACGAATGAGGTTATGTTATATATACATAATAACAAAAGTCAAAAAATTCAGATCATCACGAGACAATCCTCGAATTGCATATAGGAAGAGACAATATCAATAGCAACAAAATGCCTATACCAGAAGTTCTAGAGAAAAATTTATTAATCCCACGCATAAACAAAAGGCCACAGACAAAACATGCAAGCATTAGTCCAACATTTACTGTAATCAATTCCTAACACGAGACCATAAGCAAGCGGACTCATATCATCTGATACACAAACAGTAACAGGAAAGATTGCTACAAGAATGCCTGAGTGTCCATCAGGCATTTTTGTTTTCGTTAATATGTTCAAAACATTATTACCATCACCTACAAAAACATTTGAACATTCTGTTTTCCCTATAAACAAAATCTTCCAACAAAAAATATTACTCTTACAGTTGGTTTTAGAATCCAATGCAGAGTGCAAGGAAAACTGCTTCAGCTTCAGGGCTACAGGTTCTTCTGCACTTGAAAAATCAACTGCAGAAGCGGGGCCTCTCTCTCAGGTTCCATTGGTAGGCCTAGATATTCACGTCAAGTAGACATTTGTTTGGCCAACTCTTAGCACATCACCACCACCAAGGACATGAACAGATGAAGTAATTTCAAGAAAAACAACCCAGTTGAAGCACAATAATGCAATTAATCCATCGTTACCGAAAACCAGTATATTCAAGTCCTCAGTATCTCTTTTGTAATGATCCATTACTCGATTTTTTTTCTCCCTAACTCGCTGTACTTTTGCGAAATTGATCAGTTACTGGCACCTAGTAAATGAAGAAAATAATCCACACAGCTAGAATTTCATCCTAAACCCTGAACCCTAAACCCTAAATGTCACAAATAAATATAGGGAAAACTTGATATAAGTCCAATTTTTTTTAGCCAATAGTAGGAATAGTCCAATTTATTAAAATAGGTCCAATTCCTTAAATTTAATTATTTAATTATCAATAATTATCTATTCAATGATAAGATTTATTATAAAAATCAATTTTCTTCATAATTATCTCTTTGATTATTTCTTTTTATTTTTATTTTTTATTATTTCTTGTTCTTACTCCTGGTTTAAACCCCATTTATAGATTTTGTTTTTAATTTTTATAATCAACCTATATCACAGGTTAATTATTTTTATGTATCTATATGACAGATTCTTTTTTATAATTAACGTGTCACAAATTAATGTGTCTTGCTTATAGGTATATTATGTTTTTTCCTACCTTTTAGTTAGGTTTCATATCTCGCCTGTAGGTATAATATATATTCATAAATTTGTTACTTGAGTTAATTATTTTTACGTATCTATATGACGGATTTTTTTTTTTATAATCAACGTGTTACAAATTAATGTGTCTTGCTTATAGGTATATTATGTTTTTTCCTACCTTTTAGTTATGTTTTATATCTCGCTTATAGATATAATATATATTCATATATTTGTTACTTGAGTTAAGGTAGAATGTTTTGTAGATAATTTATGCTAGTATATTAGTTTTTGTTGTTGTAAGATATTAATTAGATTTTTTTGGAGTTGAAAAATGCATAATATTAGAAGAATTTTAATTGATTTTTAATATTTTTAAAAAATATAAAATGAGTACAAAAGAAATAAAAACATGTAATTAGATAACTGGACTCACTCCTAAAAACTCTCTATGTTTTTGGACCTAGATCTAAAAGCCCCATAAATATAATACATGAATGCCTAGATTTAGTAAACGTACACAAAAAAATTACAGTCTCAAACACTCAAAAGTGACATTTCTTCAAGAAGTATAGCGGATCGCAACCTCTCCTATACAATCCACGTGAATACCAAGACTTGCCCACACCAGAATTTTGCACAAAAGAACAAAAATTACAGAGAAGAATCCACAATCACAAAAATAAAACCAAATTTCAGTGCTGGAAAGGACATAAATTGATTCAAATTTCTGGAGAAATGGAAGAGTAACTCACTGAAAAGTTTGAAGCTTTGGAGTGGGCGTAAATTTGGGGGCGTTTCTGAAGTTGCGGAGCTTCTGGAGGTGCTTGTGAATGCCGTGAAGGTGAAGAGCGTCTGAGGTAGTGACTGAGTCGACTGACCTGTGAGAAGGCTTTTAACTTTTTACAGTTCGAATTGGGCTTGGGCTCCTCAGGCTTACAGAAACGAAAATAATAAGAGGGCTCAAGGCCCATTTACCATAGACAGAAGAGGCCAAGCCCAATTTCTAATATAAGTGGAATCTTCAAAGATTTATGAAGAAAAAAAAAATTTAATTAAAAAAATGCTTTATTAAACATCATGATAATGTATGTAGGATATCACAAACCATTCAAATCCAAACGTGAATATCATGAACTATAGTTGTGTTTTTATTATAAAAGACATGCGACATAATTACTATAAGAGGACATAAAATACAAAGATGCATTACCGTCAACACTTTACTAAATACCGAAACTGCCAAAAGAAAATACAATACACTAGGCAGTGTACATTATCGATGCGGGACTGTGTCAAAAAACCTTAAAAAAACAAACTACTTCGAGATAGGGAAATAGACCACCGCACATGCTTAAACCTTAATATACACCAACTATTTTGAACATAAAATGATATTAATAAAAACCAACGCATGAAGAATCAAACCTAGACGTAAGATTAAAAAGAGACACTGCTTACCACCATAACACAAATGAATTGGTGATATTCCATTTAGTTGTTGGTTATTTATATTTAACCAACATAATATTTTTTTTTTTCGGGGCACCCTAGACGGCCCTTTTCCGGCTGCCCTCAAGGCGGCCGTGGTGGTTCCGATCATCACCCCCCGGCTCCAACATCGATAAACAACGCAATAAGTTTCATCGATACATCCCCAAATGGTAACTGACTATATATATTAGTGTAAATAAATTACAGTAAACAGGCATGCATTGGCCAAATGAAATATATGGGTTGGTGACAATGACAAATCTCTAGCCAAAGTGGGAAGAGGGAGAGAAAGTGAACATTAAACGAACTTATTTCTCTCCCAAATGCTTATGTGAGGTTGTAACTAATAAATCGTTTGTTAGGATGAAAGTTTATTTAATTGAAACTAAGTTCTATTTGACTTGATAAACTTTTTATGTTCCGAAAAATTTAATCTTTCAAGTCAATTAGAATGCGTTAGATGTGTTAATGTTTAGAAGATTAAAACTTTTAAAATGTTGAACGTTTTTCAAAAAATGTGTTGAGGAAGCTTAAAACGACAAAACCAACCCGAATGAAACCGAATAATGGTTTGGTTTGGTTTGAATGATGGTATTGGTCAAAACCGAGCCAAACCCAACCAAACCGTTGAATGCTTGTTGGTTTTGTTCTTTTTTTTGTGTCAAAACTGAATCAAATCGGTCCGCCCCCACCCTTATTAGTAGCAAACTTCTTATTTGACAATTGTTTGATATCGGATGGTACCAAAACTGATCGGAATGGGATCGGTTTGGTATCAAAACTTAACATGGACAAAACCGAACCATGCCAAACTGAGCGAGAATTTTGGTTTTGGTTTTAGAATAAGTCCACCCCTGAACCGTACAAGAAGTAGAAAAATGCATGGAATAAAGATATACCAACTAAATAGTCTTACATATCGAAAGGCTGAACCTTTGAAAAACTAAAAAATTATTGTATAGAATAATTAACAAAGAAAGAAATTACATAGGTTGCACAAAAGAAATAACAGGTTGTAATTAAGTGTTTTTGACTCATTTTTTTAATTTCTCACATTTATATGTATGAGTCATATATAAATATACATTGGGGGTATGAGTATCCAATGAACCCATGTTGGCTCCGCCCTGTAAAATATTTTTCATCCCCATAAAGGCATGAAACCCTAATCTTATAAAGGAAAAAGAAATATATACTTAAAATTTTATTTCAGAATTTATTTCTTTCAAAAGTTTCACATTATTAGTGCATCGCTTCAAATCCAATAAAAAAAAAATGGTAAAAATCTTGGCCTTTAAAAAGAACAAAGAATGGAACAATAATTCCAAACATATGTGCATGTGTTATAATATTATGAGCCATTCAATGTGTGGATGGCCAATCCACTTCATCCTACTCATTCCACTCTACATGTCCTTCCACTAGGAGCTGCCACTGCTTGCTTTTGGTGCTCCTGCTTTGCCTATAAATCAAAGGAGATACGAAAAGAATAAAAATATAGAAGAAAAAAACGGAAGAGAGAAGCCAGAAGGTTTATGGCAGAGAGAGGAAAAAGAGAGGAGAGAATAGAGAGAGTTATATTTGTAATCTTATTACTTCAGATTATAAATGAAAGCATCACTGCTGCTCCGAGGACGTACTCCAGTCATACTAACTGTAGCGGAACCTCGTAAATTTTATGTCTTGTTTATTTATTCCACTGCACACACTGTCGATTTTACAACACATTATAGCACAAGAAGCTCTGGTGTCAATGGAAAGCGCAACGCCACAAATCCTGTTCACCTATGTTGCTTGGAATCTCACAAATAAGAAAATCTTTTCATTTCATCATAAAATCTTTGTACTATTGATTTTCCTTAAGAAAATATATATATGTTGTTGTATGACTGTATATCATCCCTTGCAGAAGCAAAAGAGTGCAGACTCAAAATTCGTAGAGAATCTGATAGCCATGTAAATAGCCTCGGAACTCCAACTTGCAGATCTTGGATTGAAATACTTTCTTCTTCAAAGTTGTTCGTTCGCCTAGTACCTACAACATGTCAAACTTTCAGAAAATTCCAACGGTGCGATCATCGCAGATGCTTGAAATACCAAACCAGTTTCCAATTTTCTGCGAAAATTGGACAATCACCTTATGAATACCAAAACTCCATTTTGGTAGCTCAGATCGAAATTATTCTTCATGAAAGTTGTTCGGTATCCTCTTATCCATATCATACTAAAATTTAAGCTAAATCTAACGGTTTGATCTTTTCATAAGTTGCAGACACTCTTGGCTCCAAACTTATGTGAACCGTTTCGATTTTTTTTAAACTCACCGGAGGAGGAACACCAATTGGAACTTAGTGTTACTATTATTTCCTGGATAACTAAAATGACTTCTAACTGTGAAATAATAATAAAAGTAAAAGGGATGAAATAAAAGAAAATGGCAGACCAAGAAAAAGAAAAAAGCAAAAGATAAAGACTTAATCATTGCATTTTTTGTTTTGGCATATTTATGTGTATGGTGTTGGTTTAAAGCCCTATCACAAGTTCTATTTATTTAAAACAATTTATTTACAGTGGGTAGAATTATTACCCTTTGCTTTAAAGTTTTGATATTTATGTGAATGGTGTTGAATCAAAACCCTTGTCACAATCCTTATTTACTTAAAAGCAGTTTATTTACCATGGTTGGAATTACCGCCTATTGCTTTAATTTATTTATTGTACTTCTTTTTATTATGATGAGTACATACTGGACCCGAAGTTCCTTGAATAGATAAGAACCCGAAGTTTCTTGATCCTCATCACATAACATGATTAGACCTAAAGTTCCATCATGCAAAAAGATCAGGAATGAAGTCCCTAGATCCTTAAGATATGACATGAAGTTTCTTGATAAGTACCTTAAGTTTGAAGAGTCGAAGTACCACAACTTAATTGTAAGGCCATGAGAGTCCCAATTCATAGGCTATTAAATAAGGACCAGAAGCTCCTCGATGTATAATACATTTTGTTGGAGAGTTTACATCTCGAAGTTTTGATGATTATTGCATGCCATTGGGCATTGATGTTGAAATCCATGTTCCTCATGTTCATACTCAAAATGATTTAGCAGAAGCATTTATTAAGCGAAGAAATTGATTACCCACGCTCTGCTCATGAAAACGAGATTGCAAGTTTTCTACATGTGGACATACCATTATACATAATTCACTAGAAAGTTTGGTTGAGACCAGTTAACAACCATCAATATTTCTCAATACAACTCGTATTTGGGCACCAGCCAAACATTACACATGTATGAATTATTGATTATGTTATCTATGTGCCTATTGCACTGCCACAATTTACTAAAAATGAGGCCTGAAGGCAAATTGGGAATTTATGTTGAATTTGATTCACCATCTATCATTCAACATTTGGAACCCTTGACTGAGGATATGTTTACCGCGCAGCTTGCAGACTATGATTTTGATAAGATAGTTTTCCCACCATTAGGGGGAGAAAATAACATCGTTCCAGAAGAATGATGAGAAAATATCATTCCAGAAGAATGATGAGAAAAGACTGTTCCAGAAGAACAAAGAGAATTTGTCTTATTTTGATTCATGAAGCAATCAATATAAAAACAAAGTGAGAATAATTGAATGATGCAACGATATGCAAATCAAATGCCATATGCATTTAATGATGCAATGAAAGTAATAAAATCACATATACTTGATGCAAATATGCCTACATGAATTGATGTTCCTGTCGGACAAAATAATATGGTAGCAAATCTATTACATGTCTGAACTGTGGTAGACCCTTAGATTCAAAAGGTTCATTACTTCAAAAGAAGAAGAATATGACACTACCGAACTATTGCATTCCCAAAGCATAACTGTTGCATGCCGAAAGCATGACAGTTGCCGTATGGATATATGTCCCAAAAAGGACAATCCGCAGACATGAGAATGTTGATGTCTTATGCATGAAGCATGATAGACATATAGGTTTCAATGACTCAACTCCCGGAAGTGAAGATTAAAATCCCAGCTCTATAACGCTCAAGACGAGGTTATGATCCGCATTCTTTAAATTATGACTATCCTAGAAGAAATAATGTAATGCCCTTGAAGAGGCAATGGATATCCAAAGAAATGAAAACCTTTTATGCACGTGCATGCACATGAGAATATGGGATCAATGATTGATGACAATCAATGGATATCCAAAGAAATGAAAAGCTTTTAAACATGCGCATGTTCATCAATGAGCTGTATTGATATTGAGTCACATTCTTTTATTCGTCGACGAAAGGAAATATTATTTGCCAAAAATGGAGAAAGTCAATTCCATTACAATCTTGTAAGAACGTGGAAAAATGGACCTATATATA